AACACCAAAAGAGCGGGAAATTTTTAAGGGAATGTTCAATTCCTTTGCGATGCACAAACAATGGTCAATTGCAGATGGTGACTTTGGAATTTTCTTCGCAATAATAATCTTTCTTACGTCATCACCGAGAATGGATTTGTTTGAATTAAGAAGCTTAGGGACTATTTTAGCTTTTAACTCATACAGTCTATTTTCTAAAGTTGGGAGACCAGTTTCAATTATAATATTATTTATGGGCGTCGTCCGAAAAGCATAACAACTTGCTCTAATGGCTTGGTGATAGACCGGTTTAAGGATGTTGATATTAGATTTGCAGCTATTGCCATAAATTATCAAAGCATAGTCAATCTTGCTTAAGATAAGCAATAGTGTTAATATGCGCATGGCTTCTCCAAGCAACGTACTGTATGAAATTTACCCTTGTTAAAAGGGAGTTTTTTAACCGAAGGCAGTGTGCTTTCCAACGATAATTGTTTGAAAACGTGAGCCCGAGAACATGGAGCGTCTGCACATTTAGTACTGGTAAGTCGTTAATATGCATCAGTAGGTTTCCTGCATCGCACATTTGTTTTCGACAAATGTGCATTTTTTTTGATTTTTGTATAGAGATTATAGCTCCTGACGAGTTTGCCCATGTGGAGATCTCACATGCAGTAGATTCGAGGATGTTGATTGCTTTCGTGTTGTCTTTTTCTTTTGTAAAAATGTATACATCGTCCGCGTAGAGACAATGTTCCACTCTTGGTACACGGCAAAGAATTTTGCTAATTTCGTTGAAAGCGATCTGGAAAAGCGTGACAGAGAGAGGAGATCCTTGCGGAATGCCATTCATTAGCGGAAAGGAATCAGAAAGATGATTGTTGATTCTAACTTTGAACCGCCGATGCGACATGAATGATTTGATGTAGTTGAAGAATTTGGGTCCAACATTCCATGATTTCAAGAGTCTTAAAATAACATGAAAACCAACTCTGTCAAATGCTTTTTCGAAATCAATTGAGAGAATTGTTACGTGATTTCGTTCGGAAATTGCTTTGCTTGTGAAATAATCAATATGTAACAGAGCGTCGATGCACCCTCTACCCCGCTTGAAACCAACTTGTTGCTTTGTTATCAGGTTCTTGGACTCAAGAAACCAAGATAATCTAGATGCCATAATCTTCTCTAATACCTTGGAGAGGCAAGGTAAAAGAGAAATTGGGCGATAATCTGATGCGATGGAGACATTTTTTGACTTTGGAATTGGAACAACTGTTGCCAGTTTCCACATGTAGGGTATATGGCCAGTCATAAATACCGTATTATATAGGTCCAGTAATTTATTTTTACTAGACTTGGACATAGCACTGATCATTTGGTATGAGATGCGGTCTAGACCAGGTGTCTTCTCCTTCGAATTGGAGAGACAACTTCCAAGTTCTGAGGTAGATACGCAATTTTCCAGGAACATGGCACATCTATCGATATTATTTGAAAGAGATATTGGAGTCCTTTTATTTTCAATGAAAGCACTGGAGAAGTTGCTGTCAGAGGAGTATTCGCACCACACTTTTCCAAAGTAATTAGAAATCTCATCTGCGTCAGTTAAAGTTCCATTGGGAGTGCAGATGGCAGAAATTTCGTTCAGGTTTGAAGTCCCATTAAGTCTGTTGATTTTGTTCCAGGCAACTTTCATTGATGTATTTCTGTGAATTCGTCTCGAGAAAAGTTGGAAACTAAGTGCCTTTGATTTCCGTAATTCCTTCCTGAATAGAGCATTGGCCTTTTTGTATAATAACAAGCGATTCTGATCAGGACATCTCTTAAAGCGGTGCCATAGATCCATTTTATTTTTCCTCAAAAACGAAAGTGTGTTGTTCCACCAAGGAACCCTAGCTCGTTTAAAAGAGGTGTTGGATTGAGGAATAGAAAGATGAGCAGCCGTGCGGATCGCTTTGGACATAATAGCAGCATCATGGTTGCAGTTTCCGTTAAATGGCTTTGAATTCAAAAATGACTCCACTTGTTTGGAGTAGTTGATCCAATCCGCTTTATCTAGGAGGAATTTGGCCTGTTTTGCTGGAGTAGCAGAGGACGTTGAAAGTTTAAGATCGATTATGATTGGAAAGTGATCACTATTATGTAGATCATCAGAAATAGACCAGGACACCAAAGGAAGAAGTGATGGAGAGCAACATGTTAAATCAATATGTGAAAAAGTATGATGAGTTGAGAAGTGCGTTGGTTTTCCATCATTTAAAACGCAAAGGTTGCTTTGAAAGAAGGCCTTTTCTAAAACAGTACCGCGAGTGTTGTTCACTGTTGAGCCCCAGATGGTATTCCAGCTGTTGAAATCGCCGCATATAATTAATGGGGGGGGAAAGTACAGAGAATAAACTGTAGAGTTCTTGCTGAGAAAACGATTGCGAAGGTGGAATATAGAGCGAAAGCACTGTAAATTTTATATTTAACATTATTTGTATCGCTACGGCTTGTATATTTGAGCTTAAATTTATGCGTTTGTGAGGTATACTTGATTTTATAAAAACACCTACTCCTTGTTTGGAATATGAGTTTTGATCAGCATTTGTGAAGTATCCAGTATATGATTTGGGTGGAATAGGATTAAAAGAGCTTCTACAATGGGTTTCTTGAAGCGATAAAAAGGTCGGATTAAAATCATTTATGAGTGTACGGAGTTCATCAAAATTATTAATAAGTCCTTTAATGTTCCATTGTAGAATTTTAAAAACTTTATTTAATTGTAATGACATGTAAGCAGAGTGGAGGGAGGGTTAAGTTGACATGTCAGCGTCTCCGTCGAGAAGGTCGCTATAGGAATTTTTCGTGAATGATTTATTCTTACCAGCAGAATAATCTGTATTTAGGTGATTTGGTACATTTGAAGCGCAACGGGTTGGCGCACGTGAATAATTTGAAATTGAAGGTTGATTAATGGATGAAAGAATGGGTTCATTACCACTTGTGATTTGTTGAGTAAAGTTGAGAGCTGAAGATTCTGGAGAATTTTGTATATTAGATTTTAGCATATGTGTTGTTGTTTTAATTTTTTCAATATTTGCAGTTGCTTTGGTTTTTTCAATATTATCTTTGGCAAGTGATGTAACTGGTTTCGCAATATAATTTTTGGTTAATGGTGGAACACGTTTTTCATTGGAAGCAGTTGCAGTTAAAGTCTTACTAGGCTCGATTTGCGAGGCAACAGCAGCATAGGTATTACTTTTGCCTATTCCATGGGCTACAGATGGATTTCTTTCCCGGTATGTGCGTCGCGCTTCGCCCATGCTACAGTAATTTTCTGTTTTGATTTTTAATATTTCGCGCATCTGTACAAAACGTGGGCATTGTTTGTCTAACGCTGAGTGTTGATCATTGCAATTTATGCAGAAACTACGGGTGCAGCTTTCAGTATGTGGAGGATGACCACAGTTAGCACAAGATGCAGCATTAGTGCATCTTTTTGCCGTATGACCCAGGCGTTGGCAATTTTTACACCTCATAGGATTTGGGATTTATAGTTCTACTTTACATTTATACCACGCCACATCAACTGTTCGCGGTAATCGGTAGCGATCAAAAGTTAATATAATCCTTCCTGTAGGAGAGCGTGTTTTTCCGTCATCATTTAGTTTGGTGAATTTATATATTTCAGTCACTCCTTGATTGCCCATTTTGCGAACAATTTCATCTTCTGGCACATGCTTTAACCAAGGGGCAAAAATTACGCCTCGAACCGAGTTAAGTTTCTCATGTAGTTTAGCTGAAATAGCACATAGATTAGCTAAAGATTTGGCCTTTATGAGCTTTTCGGTTGCGCGCGGGTTCTCAGCGAGGACCAGTAAATTCCCATCGCGTAGAATCGAGATGGAGTCGATGTATGTTGTAATGCTATCTAGAGCTTTTTTTATAGCAAACGGGCTAATTTGGAAAATTGTTATTCGAGCATCGGTTGAAGAAATAACAATATATTTTTTATCAATAGGGGTTATATCGGTGATTGGCAACAACGGAAAATCGGAATTTTTACTTTTTTTTCTTTGGGGGGATGTATCACTTAATAGATGAAATCTATTCGAGTTTTTGTCTGGCGGCCCCGGGGCCATTATGCCTTATTGTTGTCTATTGCTTATTATTTGTGAAATAGCCACTCACTTCAAAAGGTTTGGGAAACTACTGAATAAAAAGTCAGATGTTTTAAATTTTTTTTTTTTTTTTAATGTATTTAAAGGAAAACACGTACGATATCCGCGATGAACACTTTTCGCAATAAACACACAGAAAGTTCAATAGATTATAATAAGTTTGAGAACTTTTAAAAATGTATAACGCAATAAAGAAATTAAATTGCAAAAATTTTTCCACAAAGAGAAAAATGTGACCACAGCGCTTGAACAGAGTTGCCGAATGAACTCTACTTCTAATAAATAAAAGAAATGCAGAAAATCAATATGTGTTTGACATTCACAAGACGTTGCACGAATCTCAAGTGGATGACTGTCACCTCGTTTGGGTACCTGGCCACTGCGGCTTTTTTTTAAATGTAAAAGCCAACTTTCATGCAGGGAGAGCTCGTGTTGATGGGACAATTTTGTCCATCAAATATACTCCCAATGAAGCAATTCGGGCAATTCGCAACCACATCCTTCAACAGCTAAATGACGAATTTAAAGAAATCGCGCGCGTTAAATCCAATCGTCTTTTCTATAAATTAAATCCCACATTTCAATTCAAACCCTTCTCTATATCTTCTTTTAATTCCTGGGAAATCAAAATTCTTTATAGACTCATGAGTGGTCACACTTATGACAAAGTTTATTTAAAAACGATTCGCGCTATACCACGTGATGTTTGTGAAGTTTGCAATGTTGTTGAGTCTGCTGAGCATCTAATCTTCAGATGTCACAGGCTTGATGGCATTAGAGATTCCTTTAGCTTCTTCAAGTTATATGGCTGTCTCCTCGATCTCCTTGCAGCAAAAAATGTACGTCATCTCGGGGAACTAACTTGCTTTATTAGAAAAGCCAATTTATCCTTTTAGAATTTTTCTTTTCCCTCCTCTTTCCTTTTTTTTTTTTGTTTTTTCTTTTTTTGCGTTCAATCATTTTCAATTACCATGACATTCCTTTTCGTTTTCAGCCAAAGTTTGCAACACTGTCTGACTTTCAAGAACTCAACAAGCACACTTACACACACACACACACAATTACATTTAACATGCTCACTCCAGTTATTACGGCCGCTCTTTTTTTTTTGTTACGTTTTATACACAATCGTGACTAAAAATTACAACAATTTGGACATATAAGCCACAAATCTATTAGCTTAGTCCATCTCTGTTCAACATACCAAAAAAAAAAAATAAATAAATAAATTTTGGAATTAAGGAAAATATGACATTCAGTATTTTTGAGGTTGATTTCCGGCAAGATATGGAAAACAAATAATAATTACCGGACCATTTGTCGTCACTATTTAAAGCTAAGTAAGCTAAACTTATTTTTTGCTCACTTGTCTACAATGCGCTATTGAATATTTCTACAAGTCCGTATGCCTCCTCACTAGCAATAATAATTTATTAATGCTCCTGTCTTCTGCAAGCGATATTGAATAATATAATTTATTAAGAACAAGCTAAACATTATAATAAAGTTTAGTTTTCTTCTTCGTCTCCAAATCAGCAAATCAACAATTGAAAATTCACTTGCAATATATATTTTTTGTTCCTCCAATCTAAGTTTACAAATTTGTATGTGGTAAGCGATTCCGAATATGTACTTGAAAATGCATCCATAAGTTCGAATGACAACTTAAAAATACGGCAACTTTAGGGGAAATATAGAAAAAAGAGGCAAAACAAAAACAATAGGTTTATTCATCTTTTGTCAAAAAAAAAGAAAAAAAAAATTGTGAATACTTTTTGAAAATACACAAGGAATTTATTAAAAATCTGAAGGAAAAAGTATTTGATCAGGATCGCATCATACCATTTTAAAACAAAAAAGAAGAAAGAGCAAAGAACAAAGGGTTGTAAATTCACTGATATTACAGCCGAGCTATAAGAAGCCAACGACATATTCCAGATAACTTATAATGGTCGGTATAATTGATGATACGGACACCTGCTTACGTTACCCTGCAGGAACGCGTATAAAAATTGGTGAAAACAGTGGAACCGTACGCTATGTAGGAGAGGTCAGTGAAAATACTACAAAAAAATAATTAAACTTTATTGATATTTTATTTTTCACTATATGCAGTTATGTGGATATAAAGGAACTTGGTTGGGTGTTGAATGGGACGATCCTAAGCGTGGCAAACACAATGGTACCGTAAACGGTAAGCATTACTTTTATACTATGCATCCGAATGCGGGAAGTTTTATACGACCTGATAAGCTGGGGCCGTTTGAATCTTTGGAGAGTGCTGCCCGAGAACGTTACTTAGGTGATTCTGAAAAGAGCTTGGACCAGCAACTAATACGCGAAGCCCAGGAATCATTGCAAGCTTCATTGTTTGAAGTCGTTGGTCTGGAGAAATTGGCACGGAAACAAAGTAAATTTGAGCAGCTCACAGAAATTAGTGTAGCTGGCTCTCCAGTTAACAATGCCGGTTTTTTGAACGAATTTACTGCTCTTACTGCATTAAATTTGAGTCATACATTGATTTGGAATTGGCAGACTATAGCAGAAATATGCCGCCAAGTGCCCACTTTAGTGAATTTAAATTTAAGGTAATTAAACACAGGCACTCTTATATTTGTACTTTATTGCCTCAATACAAACGGAAGAGCTAAAGCATATAGATATTGTTATTCTGTGAAGAGCGATCATATCTTTTTTTATATATATTCTGCTGTGGTGTTTTCTATCATACGGCACCGCATTGTCCATAAATGAAGTCGTAACAGATATGGCACATAGTCTTAAATAAAAGGAAAAGTTTGAAACGCTTATTTAGAGATGTAGGCGATTTTTAAATAAATACCTTTTCAAGTATTGAGAATTTGAAACTTTTCCGAACCAATAATCCAGAAAGATTGTTGATTTGCAATTTGCAAGCGCAAACATCTGAAAACGCGTTTTGGTTCGAATAATTGTGTTTGGGTTGCTGGCTATTATAAAAGAAGCTTACTGTAAAAGTACTGAATTGTCTGAACTATATTTGAATAAATAAAAGAATTTAAGACTTTCTTTGATCCACGGTTTAAGTGGAAATTAAACTTCAGGATACTTAGTAAACTATCCGTTACTTCCCTTTTCATTGCTTTTATATTTTAGTTGTAATCGTTTTGTTGCACCTACTGATTCCCAAATTGTTGAAATGTCATCAGCCTTCGATAATCTACAACTTATTAATTTACGTAATTGCGGTTTTACGGATTGGTCAGACGTAATACAAACAGCACGCTTATGGCCGCATATAATGTCAATAGGACTTCAAGAGAATCCCATCAGCGAGCTAAGCGCCGTCAATACTAAAGATGTTTTTAAGAACTTGAGGTAAATTGAAATGAGTCATCCTTTGGACATTGCTCTTTATGCGAGAATAATTTTAGAGAACTTGATTTGCATCGTACCAAAATCATGGACTTCGATCAGATATGCAAATTGGGAAATCTTAAGACTTTGGTTTCATTAAATCTGATGGAAAATGGTATTGAAGAAATAAAGTTGCCCGATTGCGAACCAAACACAAAGCTGGACATGTTTATATCTTTGGAACAATTAAATATGCTTTACAATCCCATTTGGAATGAAATGGATGCTTTTAATGAATTGGACAAATTACCGCGATTAAAACGTTTAAGTAAGACTCCACATTTAAAATCGAATTTTGATGAAATGCTAGTCAAGGCGGTTGGCTTGATCACTGGTCTCGAAATGGTTAATAGAGCAGAAATTTCCGCTGAAGAAAGACGTGGAGCGGAATATGACATATGGAAGAAATACGCTTTGGACTGGCTTCAGGCTTCTAAATTGGCCGAATCTCTTAAGGAATTTTATAAAAAGCATCGTTCGTACGCTTTATTGATAAAAAGTGAGTGCAATAGGTAAGAAGAAAGCTGAAAAACTACAAATTTTTTAAATATTTGCAGAATACGGTTCGCCTGTTGAATTTGTGCCTCGCGCAAATATAAAAGTATCTAATTTAATAAAAATACGTATTTTAAACAAAAAAACTGGAGAGATATGGGAAAAGAAATTTCCACGGATGATTACAGTGCAAACACTTCTTGGCCTGATTGTCAAACGTTTTCATTTAGATTGCATAAATATGGCACCTCAATTGTGTTATACTGATGCCAGGCATCCAGAACTAGTAGTACCTCTAGACAACCTCTCCAAAACGTTGGATTTTTATTCACTGCAAGAAAATGACATTGTGGAAATTGAATGTTAGACTAAAAGTCGTTCGTAATTCATTATTTATTTACAAAATCATTTTTAAGAATTATTTTAACCAAATTAACCTTGTGTTATCCATGTCATTTCAAAATTTATGTTTTTCTACTTTTATATTTCATTTTAATATAATTTACGTCAATCAAATAAAACTTCAGCTGGCAAATAAAATTCCAAAAAGTTTGATGCATAAATTTCAAAAAATACATTAATATTTTTCAGAAGGAACTGGTCTAAAGCAGTTTTTATAACTCCATAAATCAACATACCCTATACACTCATAGCTTGATATCAATCTTCTGGACTAAACTTCAGAATGGACGTTATACTATCGACTATTACAATTTGTAAATCATCCAATCGAGAGAGATAATCATCACTGCATCGCCAATAAATCACTTTTAAGACCACTTAAAAAGATTGTGTGGCCAGAACTTGTTCCGTTACTGATAATTTGGATTATGGTAAGTGAAAATAATTTTCGGAAAAATGTGAGAAGGCAAAGCTTTTATCTTCCACAAGCAATAACGATAGGATAAAAATACATCCTCACTTCCGTTATCATTGGCAGATTGTTTATTAGAGAAACAACCACAAACCACACCAGTGCTACATTTTATTTCTTAAAACAATTATTTGCAAGAATTTGCCACTAATGCCTTTCCTGTACCATTCATATATATAATCTTAACCCTTTAGACAATTAAGAACGCTCACGTTCCAATTCAGCTATGGAAAGTTTGACCACGGTGAGTGAAGGTGCAGTGTCTCCATATACGGCGTCCAATTCATCTTTAATTTGTGCCGGCGTTTTTCCTTTTAAAAACAAATACTTTATGACAGCGCGATATTCAATTTCTTCCATTCTCACAAACTACTGACATCGATTCTCTCAAATAATTATCAAATTATCAATTTTTGTGAGTACTTACTAATGTAATACTTTTGTGGATTAGTGTTGCCATCCTCATGTTCAATCAATGAAATTTGTCGAGAAAAATTGCACCTATGCTTAAGTTATATCGTCCAACTTGGTAGCTCTGCCTGCGAGTAGATGTGTTGATTTAAGCTCGTGATTATTTGGTATATTTTATTAAATAATAATAGCGTACTTTGAACACCGTTTGGATGAACGGAAATTTATTTCGAGAAAATAAGAGGGAAATGGGTTTGAATGGGTTGCAATAAATTGCAAAATTACACAAACGTATGTAAAAAGAAAGTTGTATAAAATTTTTGATAAAATGAAATGAGATGAAATAATATAAATCATACAAACTCTGTACCTAATAAAAAAGGGAAATAAACATTTTTAATAAAGCAAGGAAATTTCATGTAATGAGCTACAATGCTTTCCGTATAATAAACTGCAGGCAATTTTGATTTTAAATAGGTAACGCTTTCGATTTTTTTTGTCAAGCACTGCCACAAGAAAAATCTTCTACTGGAATGTAACACTTTTTCTTTATTTTGCAGCTGTTTTTTATATTTTTTTGAAAGCCCTAGCACGATAGATTACGAGGGCGAGAATAATGTGCGTATATTAATTTTCATTTTTAATATTTATAATTATATAATCGCTAATAAAATTTGTTATTCTTTGCCACCCCATGATCAAAGGATCAAAGCTTTAAAAAGGCTCGCAGCTTTGACATTTGGGATTTGCAAACAGCGTGTTGGGAGTGATCATAAAAATAAAAAGAAAATTGCAACATCAAGAGCAAATGCTGTAATTGTTAAAGTAAATTGACAATGAGCTGATGCCGATCCATGTCACACCTAGCAAAAGGAACAAATATTTAATTCGGCCATGCGAATTCGAAAGTGAAACTTCGAATTAAGTTAACTCTATTTTTATTTTTATTGATTTAGATTTTTGAAAAATAAATCTTATGCTAACCCTTGTCGCCAATGCATCTCTTAACACTGTTGTTCACAAATATAAAAAGACTTACTTACAGGTTTTAGATGACCTAAACGCACAATTTTGTTTGGAATTTAAATTATTTTTAATTAACTGTTATAAATGCAACTTTAAACAACCAATGCTGCAACAAGGAGTAGGCTATTTTGCTTACGCTTGACAGAAATGGAGAGCGGTTCTCGTACCTTTTTCGTACACATATAGCAAAAAAACGCGAAAGCCAAAATGAAACCTAGCACTTATCATATCCAGTTTCATCAGCTGATTTGTTTGTAAATTATTCATGTTCGGTCTGACTAATAATGAAATTATCTAATTTATATCCCTGGGAAAAATGCCTGAGGTTGTAGAACAAGATCCCATCGATTTAATGCTGAAGAAAACTGGTTGCATCGATTATCATTACAGGGTTCAGGAGTGTATAGCAGAATTTGGCGATTGGCGGCATTGTCAGAACAAAGTGCAAGATTTTAAGAAGTGTATGCAGAAATACGTAGATGCTCAAAACCAGAAGTACGCACATATAAAATAACACCAAAAAATTATACATACATAAGTAATGTTTAAGAACTTTTTAAAAACTTTCGTCGCTGTGCCCAAAAATTTATCCTATTCAACTAAACTTGCATTGATCGCGCGGTCGGATATAAAAATGTCAAAAGGGAAGATAGCGGCGCAATGCGCCCACGCTGCTGTTATATGCTTTCAAAAAGCTCAATGCAGCGCTAACAAAGAGACGCAGGAGATTCTTGAATTATGGCTGGCAAGTGGACAGCCCAAAATTGTATTACGTGTGGGTAGTTATAATGATTTGATCTCGCTTCAAGATGAAGCTGAAAACGTCGGCATACTTGCAACTATAGTATATGATGCCGGTCATACACAATTGAATGCTGGTACAGCCACAGTGCTAGGAATAGGTCCTGATAAAAATAATAAAATTGATAAACTCGTAAGCCATCTAAACTTGCTTTAATGTACATTCTGGAATTCATTTTAAATGTTCTTTCAAACAAATAAATTTTCACTGACTAATTTTCTTCTGCGTTTCTTTTGATCTGGTCGCAATAGTAAACGATATCGCTTTACCAAATGTCTCTATCAAATCCGATGTTACGCGTTCCGTTATTTGTCTCAAACGTCCATTGGATTCACCGCATATCAAGCGCTCAATGCGTTGTGTAGGACACAATACTTCCACTGATGCATAAATGGTACCTAAAATAGATTAAATTTAAGTGGAGAGAGCCGAGTGATACATTTAAACTCCTAACCGTTCTCCACGCTGTAGTATTCAAGAAAAGTCTCCAGGTTATAAGGTATTTCTTGAGGTAAATAGTCCAATAAGCGTGCTTTCACACTATCCACGATAAGATTTTCGGGAGTTTCATCCGAGAAGTTCTCAGCTGTATACTCCCAGCGCCGTGGCTTCGCTGACGCAATAAGATAATTCTGGCAATTTTAAAATATTAATAGGCAAACACAATGTGAAAGAAAGAAATACTTCCTTCTTACATGAACATCGTTTAAGCCGCTGCCAATTATAGCAGAAACCAAAAATACTCGACTAAAATTACTCCAACTGACTTCTCGATCGTCATTTACTGGTTTCTTTAATGGTATCGATTCCTTTGTAATAGCGTTATTCCTTTTTTTATTTGTTCTTTCATTAAGCAAAGTATCATTCGTTAGGGTACGTATTAACTCCAAGGTTACACGTTTAGATTTTAAAGCATCAATTTTATTCATTATTAGAATGCTCGGCAAACGCGGGTACGTTTTCAATATATCTACCACAGCAAAAGGGAGTTCTTTGCGTGTCCAGGCATTTGACACATCATGAATGACTGCTATTAGATCAGCATGCTGAACGGCTTGACGATAGGCACTTTTAAATGAGCTCTCCAATTTGAATTTCTTAATTTCATTTTCCGTTACCAATCCGGGTGTATCACAGAATACCAGTTGTGTTTGCTCAGTTGTGTAAATGGCTTTGTTCGCTTTGCGTGTCGTATGAACTTTGCATGAGGTCGGACAAATCTGTGGATAAAATTAAAACATTCTTTGTTAAACGGCAGCCAATCTCACTTATTCATCTACACTGACCCTTCGATTAATTAAGTGGTTAATAAAAGTGCTCTTCCCAGCATTCGGCAATCCGATGATTGCAACTTTCAAAGATTTTTGCGATGCGGCTTCTACATTTTTTGCTTGAGCGTTGCAATTTTTACTTACTAATCGACACGGATTTTGTACAGGCAAAAATTTTGTTACGTTTAACAAATTATTTCGTAACAGTTTCATTTTCAAAAAAATTTAATACATAATAAAATTACAAAATTTTTAGAGACACGAAATATATTTAATAACCAAACGGGTGTAAGTGCTGCCAAATATAAAATAAAATTCATTCACATAGACTTTATCTTACTAAACAGTAAAAGCAAGGCATGCTCTGTTAAATTACATTTTTCTTCTGGTTCTGCGAGTCGTCAAATCAAAAACACAGATTAGCCAAGACTTTTCGATCGTTATCCGCGACTTTAATTTTGAAGATTAGTTTTGTAACGTTTAATTATCCATAAAAAATTAAATAGCAAACGTTCCAAGCTGTTTTTTGTTTCCAATTCAACGAAGAATTTTAAATTAAATTAACATCTTCACTTGTTAAAGCTTAAATATTATTTATTGTCTTTATATATGGCTGATTGCGCTCGTTTCGAAAAGTGAATGGTATATGGGAATATTTAAGAATATTTATACGGGAATATTTATTCGGCTACGTTGCGAAAGATGCTTGAAATGTTGCAATACTAATAGCATACGCAACTATATACCTTGATCCATCTTGATTGCAATTATTGGCCATTAAATGGAGAAAGCTCATAATAACGTTGACAGCAAGACTTCGAAGACTATGACATTCTTTATCGGACTAATTAGGAAGCAAGTCAAATTTTTTTTGCAAACGGCTTTTTCGATAAAGTCTCCTCCTCAAATGATGGAGACCATCATGTCTTGGTGGTTATTTCACAATGTGAAATGTACGCAAAAACAAGTCGTCTAGGAAAGTAATGTTTGTGCCGATCGTTTACTTGCGATCAGGTTGACAAGAATGTGACAAATCACTTGGTAGCCAGAGGAGTCAAATTCAATACCGTTGCGATGAGGAAAGGACGCGGCTTGTCACGCAGTAGATTGCCTACTTATAGTTTTGCGAAAATTGATGTTGCCTGACTGCATAAATAAAGCATTTGAACCTGGAGCTTGGTCAAGAGCAGTAGGTTTATAAAAATCTTATTGTGATATGTGGAAGAAAGAAGCAACCTTAAGGATTAAGAAGAATATGGTGAATCACTCTGACTCTGAGTATCTGCAATTTTATGAAGCTTTTCCACATTCAAGTTAAAAAATATTATAACAGCTGGAGTTAACTACACCGGCAGCTGCCTGCGACCAATGCCATATTCAATCAGAAGATTGACTTGGCTTTGACTCGCAATTTTTTTTTTCCTTTCATTGAAGGTGACGAATTTCAGCAGTTGTACTTCTTTTTATATAAATATTAAACAAATGTTGATAATTAATAAATCTTTAGTTTAAGTTTTTGCGCACCGAAAGTTCAAACGGTCCTACAAACAAGTGAAATCAATTTTTATTAATTTTTTTTTATTCAGCATAGTAATAAAATGTCATCTACGCCAAAATATAAATATAAAGTAACAAAAATATACTATATATTAATAAAAATGCTGCGTTCTTGAATCTAGCTTATATATATGTTTTAGCGCTGTAGCTCCGACGGAAAACATACTGAATCTCATAAATATTCTTCACTACAGACTGAACTATTTGATCCTTTATAAGAGCCTTTCAGAGCCGGAAGAATCGAAATCGTTCTACAACCATCAGCATCATTCTTGGCTTCATCAGATTTGGTATAGGCGCAACACGGGCATGTTTTCTTAGGACTTACAAATAGAGACGATGTAAGAGCAAAGTTAATTAAGTTTAACAAAAAAAAAAAACAAATTTGTGAATATAAAAATTTGATAAGCTTTATAGGAATGCTGTCGATCCAGCCAAAAGACCTAGACTTCGCTTTATTCAGCGCCTCAATTATTTCACAATCATAAACATAAAGGAATGAGAAAGAACCAATCGAATTTACAAAGGCTTCGAAATCATTTTACGCACAGCTGTCGGAAACATGATCGCTAACAAGAAAATTATTTAAAATAATGACATTATCACCCCAGACAACGTTATTAGTATCCCGTACACATCCCGAACTTCGTAAAACGTGCCATAACCTAGTCTTCTTGAAATTCTTGAAAATTGTTTTTTATCCTAAGTCTTCTTATCACACTCTTAGCTCTATTTCAAACCGTAAATTTTCCAATTTTCCAAAGAATCCTCTTCAGAACTTTTGCAGAAGAGATATGTCTCGAAATTATGCATGCATTACCGTTCCACCGCAACCTTTTCCTAACAACATAAGAAAAGATATTTGAGCATTAAAAGATTTTAAAGTGACCCGATAACCATGGAAATTGCACCCGATCAGAAAAATTTATCATAGCGATATTACTTAGCAAACACTATTCTGAGAAAGATGTGGAGTCATAGACCAGACCATTGTGTGAAGGACTAGGATTATGCACAATTGACAAATTAAGGCTGAAGCATAATGCCCTCATGACAATCGGTTTAGAAAAACCTAACACACTCACACCATCATCTCTACAAGAACAATTTCTCCTACAAAATGCATAAAGTATGCGATGAGAGATATTCCCATCAAGTTACGTTTTTGAAAGCGCGACTAAATCAAACACATTATCCCTTAAAATAGTTTCACTCTTATCAAATTTGGCGGAGAGTTTGAAGAAAGTCTTTTAGTTCGACAATTTAGAAGACCAGCTTTAAGTTGATTGTGACCATTTTGAAGAACACTTTTCAGTTAAGAATTACCACTGCTTACAGTACGATGTTGTCACTAAGAGATATCGCACTCACTCAAGAACGCTGCGGCGGGAAACATAACGTGTAATGTGATTGCAATACGACAAAAATATGACATAATAACATTCAGTCTTATTATATCCTACACCACTTGTTTTAGTGAGGATGTATGCAACACTCAGAGGAGCTTAAGATACCCTCGTCTTTTATTATAACGATTGACACAGGATCATTTTCTAAGTTGATCTAAGGCTGTCTGTCAGTCCGTCCGCCCGTCTGTCGGTCGCTGATTACAGTTATGAACATAATATCACTTTCATCATCATATCTTAGGCGAAAAAGACCGACTGACAAATGGAACATGATTAAATTTGTCCTACTTTTTGCCTAGATTGAGAGTATATGGTATACAGTTAATGAGATTCCTTGTGCATGACAGATGTAGATAGCTGTTGTTATTCTGTTAAGAAGTTGAGCAATGATCATCGAAAGGCTTTGCAGCGACATGTTAGTAAATAGAGATTTCAGATAGTCGTAAAAGAAAAATTTCGAAAAAGGTGATGAGAGAGGGGGGGGGGGGCGGCGTTGTGACCGCTACCCGGTTGGTGGGATAATTTTAGGTTTGTCCAAGGTCTAAGATCAGCCGCTGGAAATAACTTCAGTGCAGTGGTGAAATGCAATAGGATATTGACCTTGAGCAGGCAAATAGAAAGCTAGATTGCATAATGTTTGTAGCGTAAGATATGTAGTGAAAAAGATTGTCAGCGTTTTAATCCCGACTTCGAATATGCGAATATAAAGTCGTTTGCAGCTATAAAATCAATAAATACTTCTTGCGTAGGAAACAAATTTACAATCGTTATTGAGCCGGAAAAGTCATTCACAGAAAGTTTAAGCAGAAACGGAGTCATTCAGGAATATATATGATTACGGATGCTACACAAACAACAAACAAACAAACTAATAACTCCCGAAAAAAGTCGTTTAAACCTTGTCTCACTAAGTCAGTAATCAAATGCAAACTAATTGATGGAACTGACTATAAAAATTTTCATTCACGCTACTTACAAGGTTGCAAGGGCTCGATTCGAAATATAAGATTAGAATTTTGTGCACTTGAATATGTCTGGTTGCTTTTCGATAAAGCTATGTATCATTATCTCAATATATATCCGGGATTAGCTGGTTGTTGAGCAAGGCCCTAACCGACCTCTTTGGAACGATGTTTCAAATGTTATAGAAAATAATGTATAAGCGGACTTTCACTTTATTTTGCAATCAAATGTCACATGCTTTTGACTGAAATAATACTTGCTTGCATATATATTGATCAGTGATATCTATTGGTGAAAATGATAAAGTAATGCGATATACCAGTGTACACAACAGCTAAATTCGATGATTTTGATCCTTCACTACATAAAATAACAGTTTTTCATTTACTATCATTAAGTTATTCAGCGTATACAACCGCTAATCATGGAAAGCTTAAAATTGCATTTTCGACGTTCAAAACTTTTGCCGTTTGATTTGAAGAAATCTACTGCCGAAACTCATTAGACATGTTCAGTAGTTTATAGAGATGCTTCTCCATCATATTCCAACTGTCAGTTTTGGTTTCAACGGTTTAAAAATTACGATTTCGACAAAGAACGGCCTGGGGGACCAGAAAAGTTCTAAGACAATGACTCCAAGAATATTTGAACAACTAAGCAGTTCATAAATCAAGACGTTTCTAGACGTTTACATGCAATCATAAAGATCCAAAAGGAGGGAAAACGGCTACCGCACCAATTGACTGAAACTGACATTTCGATCCGTATCAACTTGCCAGTTTCATTGCTGGCCAGGAGAGAAGGAGGGAACATAGTTACCACATGAATTGACTGAAACTGACATTTCGAACCGTATCATTGCTGGCCAGGCAGAAAAAGAACCGTTTCCTGTCACATATTATGACTGGCGATGAAAAGTGGATCCATTGCGACAAACCTAAGCGCAAAAGCCATGGATTAGTCCAGGAGAACGATCCACATCGACGTCGACGTGAATATTCATGGCCATAAAGTCTTGCCTTGCGTATGGCGGGATCAGCAAGGTATAGTGTATTACGCGTTCCTAAAACCGAAAGAAACTATTACTGCAAAAAAAGACCAGCAATAGTGGATGACAGATGCAAAGTCAAATGTCTTGCATGACACCGGCCGTCCAAGGATACACGGTTCCAGTTCGAAAGGGGAATTCTGCCGCAACCAGTGCTCGCATCAGACATAGCGCCTCCTGATTGCCACTTGTTGGGGTCGATGAAGTATGACTTGGCCGAAAAATTTGCCAAATTTGCTCAATGCCAAATCAATTTCGTTCTTTCGACACCGGATCATCAGAATGCCAGAAAGATGGGAAAATGTTTTGATTAATATATAATCGAATT